ACGATTCTAGCATGAATTAGCATGTTACTAGCATGATTCTAGCATGAATTAGCATGTTACTAGCACGATTCTATCATGAATTAGCATGTTGTTAGCATGATTCTAGCATGAATTAGCATGTTGTTAGCATGATTCTAGTATAAATAGCATGTGACTAGCATGATTCTAGCATGAATTAGCATGTGACTAGCATGATTTTAGCATGAATTAGCATGTTACTAGCATGATTCTAGCATAAATTAGCATGTTTTTAGCATGATTCTAGCATGAATTAGCATGCTACTAGCATGATTCTAGCATAAATTAGCATGTTACTAGCATGATTCTAGCACAAATTAGCATGTTACTAGCATGATTCTAGCATGAATTAGCATGTTGTTAGCATGATTCTAGCATGAATTAGCATGTTACTAGCATGATTCTAGCATGAATTAGCATGTTGTTAGCATGATTCTAGCATGAATTAGCATGTTACTAGCATGATTCTAGCATGAATTAGCATGTTGTTAGCATGATTCTAACATCAATTAGCATGTTACTAGCATGATTCTAGCATGAATTAGCATGTGAATAGCATGATTCTAGCATGAATTAGCATGTTGTTAGCATGATTCTAGTATAAATTAGCATGTGACTAGCATGATTCTAGCATGAATTAGCATGTGACTAGCATGATTCTAGCCTGAATTAGCATGTTGTAAGCATGATTCTAGTATAAATTAGCATGTGACTAGCATGATTCTAGCATGAATTAGCATGTGACTAGCATGATTCTAGCATGAATTAGCATGTAACTAGCATGTTTCTAGCATGAATTAGCATATTGTTAGCATGATAGATAGATAGATAGATAGATAGAGGTAGATAGATAGATAGATAGATAGATAGATAGATAGATAGATAGATAGATAGATAGATAGAGACAGACAGACAGACAGACAGACAGACAGACAGACAGATAGATAGATGTAGATAGATAGATAGATAGATAGATAGATAGATAGATAGATAGATAGATAGATAGAAAGATAGATAGATAGATAGATAGATAGATAGATAGATAGATAGTGTGCGAGCATGAGTCAAACAAGCCAACCCCCGCCTCTCTACGATGTTCTGATGCTGAGATATAGCTGGTGTCATATCGTTGCTAGGTTAGTCTGTTTTGTTGCTATGGAGTTGATTGACAGCTTAGACTGATGATGTATACAAGCTTCTTGCCAGTATGAACAGTTAAAAACAATCCCCATGTCTCTATCACAATGCAGCATGACAATATCAGTCTGAACCTATTTAATGGCAGTCTATGGGACAGTTGCTAGGGTGCAGTATCTGGTTGTTAGGGTGTGGCTAGAAAGTTAAAAGGCCATCAGTGATTGGCTGCTGGCTAGACTGAGTTAAATGAGCTCAGCCATTAGTCTGTAGGACAGTCTGATGCAGAGTTATGAGCTCACAAAGTTTGATCCCATGTAAAGTCAATGAGAGTATTTTGCAATGGAAGTCTATGGGACGGTTTCTAGGGTCCAAAAGTGGTTGCTAGGGCGTGGCCAGAAAGTTTAAAGGGGGTCAGTCATTGGCAGTTTGATAGTCTGAGTTAAATGAGCCCAGTTAGAAGTCTGTGTGACATTCTGATGCGGAGTTATGAGGTCACAAAGTTTGGTCCAATGTTACGTCTATGGGATTTTTCAGACGGTCCCGGGACGTTTTTCGGAAAACCGAAAGTCGGATCAGTCGGAAAAGATATAGCAACTCGAGTCAGAATAGTTCGGAGGTCTGACCCGAGTTTGATGGTCATAGCTTGAAAGGCCTAGGACGAGATAGAGTTTAATTTTTAGTCTCAGAAGAAGAATAATAAAATTAATAATAAGTTTAATAGGATAACAGTAGTCTGGCTTGCTACACAAGCCAGCCTAATAATAAGTTTAATAGGATAACAGTAGTCTGGCTTGCTACACAAGCCAGCCTAACTAATAAATACAAATGTTTTAGTGACAAATATAAAAAAGACTGAAATCAAACCCATATCTAATAGTTTTTTTTACACTTGTTGGCTGCATGATAGGGCTGCACGATATTGGAAAAATACAACATTGCAATTTTTTATTATTCTGCGATGTATATTGTGATATGATTGCCATTTCATTTGAAAAAAGTTAAGCATTTTAGATTGGTTGAGATGATTTTATAGAGAAGCATAGATAAATAAAATTTTATAAAAGATACATTTGAAATACAGAATGTTTAAATGTTAGGTATAGTAATTAAATAATATAAATTATTCAATAAAATGAATCATTGTAAAAGTTACCAATGGTACAATTTCTTAGCCGTGAATGCTTTCAAAATCACAGTCACAGGCCAGAAAACACATAAAAATTATAACTCAAAAACATATAAGCTGCGTCCCAAATCGCATACTTATGCACTATTCTACGCCATTTTGTAGTATAAATAGTGTAAGTAGTGTGTTCACACTGAAAACTCTAAAAATATTAAGTGCACTTTAATTAAGCCGCTAAAATGAAGTGTGTAAAGATGGTCACTTCATGCACTCAACGACCGCAGGTTTGCTTACGTAGCGGAAGGGGCGGAGCAATCGGGCGCACACATTGGATAACTATTTATTTTGGATGTTCAAAGCAAAAATCTCCTACGAGAGCGATTATAGCGCCTCCAGTTGGTGAATGTGTTTATACTCACGGCAGGTATTATTTGATAATTCAGTTGTTTATTTCACTGATTTGGCGACAGTCAAACGTCATTAGGGAAACATTTTGAATTTCCGCTTAGTAAAAAAAACATTAGTGTTCCATTTGGGACGACACTACATACATATACTATCCTGTTGAGTGTGTAAGTGCATAAGTGCATAGTGTATAAGTGCATAGTGTATAGTGTGCCATTTGGGACGCAGCCATAGACTCACTCAGCATTGCATATCCTGTGATGTGACTATTGCAAATAATCACATTGCGATATCGATGCTGAAACAATATATTGTGTTGCCCTACTGCATAAACATTTCAAATATCTTTTTTAAATGATATGTTACTTCGCAGACCCAACAAATGCATAAATGTGATCGGCATGTTATAAGCTAATATTCATAAACAAAAGCTTTTAATCAAGCATTAAGAGGAATAGTAACTGCACACAGTCTCTTTGGTCTCTATAGTGTTAAATAAACCCATACAGGATACCGGTTAGATTCTGCCTTTGTTTTGAACAAAGAATTGTTTGTGACTCACGGACACTTCAGGGTGCAGCATGTAGAATTTAGTTACTGTGTCTTTACAAACCTGTTTTTCTGCAATCTGCTTTCTGACACAATTGCATGCAAATGTATGAGATTTAGCCAGCACAACATGCATTAATGAACTGCCCCTTGTTGACACACAGTCAAGTCATGTGCAAAAAAATAAATAAATAAACGGTCGTTATGTTAATGGAAGAATAGACTAAGCAATGTATACTGCAGTCTGTGTCGTTAGCCCATTCTAAAGGCTGTTATGCTCCTTACAGTTAAGCAGGCTTCAGTCTTTACACAACCACATGATTCTTCAGCTTAGTGCAAAGCCAGAGGATCATTTAAAAGGCAACCAATCAAATGAGGAAATGAAATATGTAGGTTCTCAAATATTTACCTTTCTGTAACCTTCAATATCTTGTTACGTTTTGCTGTTTTATTGCAATACCTGAAGGCTGGTTGGCTGTTTTTCTGTTCAAAATAATCATAACAATACACAAGAAGACAGGAATGTGAAGGTGTTTTCTAGTGGTCATTTATCAGATGTTGAAAGATTCCCGTCATGAAAAAAATTCCAAATGTTTTTTTAAGCTGGCATTTAAATCGAAATTGAAGATTTCTATCAAATAATGAAGTCATAGGGTGGTTGGATATAAAAACAACACCTGGGGATTTATTGAAAATCTAAACATTGATATTGCACCTTGCCCAGACCACACCTTTTAGGAAATTACAGGAATAATGATATCATTATGAAAGTGATTTTGATCTTATCTTCCTTAAGGATATAGTAGTAAAATTAAATGAAAGTAAACTGCTTTTGATTAGGACAGTTTGCATAAACTCATCCAGATTATCTCATATTAGGCATGGGACGATAACGTTTTTAAGGTATATTGTGATCTGGAAAAGTCGAGGTTTAAAAATGTTAACATTTTCTGCAATACCGTTCCTAAAATATGTGTACAATTTTTTTTGATTTATTTAATTTTTTTTAGGACAACAGTATCTCCAGCAGAAAAGATATACAAAGTGCTGTTTTAAATTGTAAAAAACAGATTTTTTTTTAATACAGCAGAAGTCAGTAATTCATTCAGTCTGACATGTTTACTGTTCCAAAATATTTTAAATGTTTTTTCAAAATAAATATATTGTGTTCAAAAAGAAAAAAAGTTTTTGTTTTTTACCCAGACATTTAAAAAGAATTTATTTTAGAGCAGTAATTACAATACTGCGAAACCGTGATATTTTTATCCAACATTATCATACTGTCAGAATGTTATACCGGCCCATGCCGGTATCTCATATATTTAAAAACTAATAAATGCTTATATTAAGTTGAACAAATGTGTCGGGAAACACTTTTACATTCCCAAATAAAAAACAAAGAAAGCTCTTAAATGCCCATTTTCACCAATTCTTATGCAATTCATCTTTATGTTTTAGTATGATTGTGTTGACATTACAAACAAATTTCCAAACCATACCCCAAACCACCCTTTTTAGGTGGGATTTGAGGATGCGCAGTTGACATTGGAAAACACTGATTTTATTATCTAAAGAAACCAAATAATGACATTAAATGAAACAAACAAAAAAGTTCTAGTGAGAAATCCCCTAAAAGACTTCTTTTTAAACTTGAAAAGATCTAACTGAACCGGAACATATGAATGGTAGTCTAAATGTAAGTTTTTATTTTTAGTATGCACACTTTTAGACTGCTGATGTCTAATACAAAATGAATGTTTTTTAGGAATCCCAGGACACAAACTCAAACCCAGTGCGGACAGAAGAGGCCAAATTGAAAGCGAAGTATCCCAACTTGGGTCAAAAGCCAGGTGGATCTGATTTCCTGATGAAGCGCCTGCAGAAAGGGGTAAGTAAAATTCAGCTTACTCTTTTCATTTTCACTTCCACTACTGCTAAAATTACCATGATTTATATAGACATAAAAATTCCAAGGGGTTGGCCTAAATAAACAACCCACTTTGCATTATTTCATAAGGTAACTTCTTAAAAGGAAGTAAATCGTATTTTCTTTGTTCACCAGCAAAAGTATTTTGACTCAGGAGATTACAATATGGCCAAGGCAAAGATGAAGAACAAACAGTTGCCTGCTGCGGCCGGTCCAGACAAGAATATCGTCACCGGTGATCACATTCCTACCCCACAGGACCTTCCCCAGAGAAAGTCCTCACTGGTTACAAGTAAACTAGCAGGCTAACGTAACTCACAGGTTTTGAAGAAACCCTCTTACCAAACTTCCAAAACCTTCCCAGACCCTCCAGACCAGCTTCACCAGGACTGGTTACCGTTATTTTTGAGTTCTTTTTTTCATTTGCGTGTATAGTTTCGCTATCTTTTTCAATAGGTTTAACCAAACCCAGCTCTGTTACCCTCTTCAGTGTCCCACAAACGATAGTGGAAAAACGAAACCCTTGGTACTCCAGGCCCCAGTGGAGCATGATGCACTTTACTCTGTGTACCCTGTACATCAGTGATTTTACGAACAAACCCATGAAGACAAGCTTTTAAAAGTGTCAAATAATTAGAAAATGATCTAAAACTGTTTTAAAAGGCATTGTTTAATCTAAATATATACATAGATAATACTTGACAGTTATTGGCCCCCAGATATACTTCGGCACGGCAGCCCTCAAATTATCACAGCGACAAAATAATGAATGTTTCGTGAGTCAGTGAAAACACGTGGTCAACACTACAGTGGTAAAGAGTCCATCCACTCTTCTACCTCTCTGTAACGGCTGCTTACGACTGGATTGTTTTACTATTCTCAGCGTTCACCTTCCATGGTAGGATCTGAGCAAGCGGTTTCAATCAGGCTGACGAGATTATCGTAATCACAGCATTTGTGTGTAAACAGAATGTTGTAATCCACTGATAATAGCACAGATATGGCACGATCTTTAAAAAAGGGATCTTGTCAAAGCAGGCAGTATAAGTCAAATTTTGCATCGTTTTCAAAAAGTAGTGGCTATAAGTGTTGAATCTTACAGGCATCTGGAGACATTCAGCTTTCTTCTACACTAAAGGCAGTGTATTTATCATTAAAGGGATTAATGTGCGATTATTTTGTGATCTCCAACACCTATGTAATGTGATGCACAGAACCCCTTTGATCATCTCATCTGAGAAAATGATGACACAATCATGTCGTCTGTTTACAAAATGAATCTATCTGATCATTCATATCCGTGTATACTCTAAGGAAATGGTAAAGGATATTTGCAGAACAGAGCAGCACCTGGTTCAATATTTGTATACTTGTCAGAACTAAATAGTAAGTGCAATATTTAAGGGATAGTTCTGCCTAAAATAGTTTACTCATGAAATCATGTTTCTTGTTAAATATAAAAGAAGAAATTTAGAAAAATGTTAATACACAGACAGCTGTTTCTTTCCTAATATTGAAGTCAGTAGGAGATTTTTGTTTCTATCAACATTTTTCAGGCTTTCTTTTTCTTATGAAAGAAACGGTAACACTTTACTTTAAGGGGTTGTTCATGAAACTATAATAATCAAGACCTGCATGAATATGAATCAGATTTTATGCTTATGACAACTGTGATTAACGGCCAATTCACAGGGGGCTTCAGTGTCAACGCTTGACAGAGGGCGTGTCTAAAGTTTGGCCTGACGCGATCGTCATAGCAGCGTCAGCCAATAAAATTTGTTCACTATCGGCTGCTGTCTGAGCTGGTATATATACATAAAGCGATATGATTGGCTGGTGTGTCCGTTGGTGCTTAAAAAGTTGTGAAATTCCCAACTTCTGCAGCAAGCAACGCCGATGAATCCACAATGCAGTTTGGCAATGCCTGACGTCACTCATTCAGAGTGAATGAGAGGCGTTTACCCTGACGCCTCGTGTGAATGGGGTGTAAGTGTCACTTGCTCAGTTTGATCATTTTAAATGCAAAAGTCACAGTAAGTATGTTTACATTCACACCAGTAATCGGATTTTACGATTAAGACAATACTCTGATTAAAAGTCTTTTGATTAATCCTATCAAGGTCATAATCTAACTAAACAGAAATTGAATTAAGACATGTGGAGTATGCTGATTTCAGTCGCATTATTGTGCAGTATAGACATGTAAATACCTTAACTTAAACTATTACTATTGCGTAGGATTTTCGTCGTATTTTGCGTCAGGGTAGTCTATATACATGCACAACTGTTTGACACTATTCTCTGCACCTACCAAGTCAGTGAAGGACCATAGACACCTGCATCGTAGTTTTTTTCCCCATATGCTGTGCGATATCAAATTCCATTAAAATACATTCTTCCAGCAGTTCATACTCGCGTCCAATACCTCGTTTGTCACGGAGGGCATGCATGAAATGTTTCTAAATAAAAGTGAAACTGCCGAACTGCAATCAAAGTTGACAAATTAAAAATGAAACACCCAAAATTACATGAAACTCTGAGAGAAATGTGGATAGCGTGATGATGCAATGACAATAATCGAATTATGTGCTCTAACATGTAAAACGAGATCATGAGACGAACAATCAAAAAGCAACTCATGTAAACACCTTAATCATATTAATGTCTTTCTCAGATTAAGGCAAATAATTTGATTACTGATGATGCCCATGTCCAACATAATCATTGTTTGAGATGGCTTTATGACAACTTGAGAAACAATAACTTGTCTTTCTCTTTGTCATGACAACTTGACATTACTAAGACAACATAATGCTATGAACACTTATAAAAATTACAGTAATGATACTTTTTATAAAAAATTGATTTGAAAAGTGAGCAGAAAAATATTCATGACACAAATAGAATTTATTCATGATGTTTATAATAGATTTAGGACAAATTATGTTTTCTTGGTATGTCACAATACGTCACATACAATATTATTTGGCCAGGACACCGGGGCTGCACCTATACTCTACGAGAAGTGCCATGGGGTTTTTAATGACCACAGAGAGTCAGGACCTCGGTTTAACATGTCATTCAGAAGACGGCGCCCACTGACAGTATGGTGTCCCCTTCACTATTCTGGGGCATTAGGACTCACTAAAGGCTGATTTATACTTCTGCGTCAAACACCGGCGTATGCTACGGCGCTGACGCATAGCCCTTCGCTGTGGCCGTCACTGACGTGCACCTCTCAAAAAATGTAACTACACGTCGCAACAACGCGTAGCGCTAGCTCTGTGATTAGTCGGCTTGGTAGCGCTGACGAGTCTGGGCGGGACCGAGAGCCACGCGAATGGCGCGAACCCAATGTAGCGATTTTTACAAGTGTGGAGTCCCATGAAGGAGCTCCGGATGGAAAGTTTTGTTTTGTGTTTACCTCATAGTTAAAGTTGCTGCACGTCCGCCGGTTGCTGCCTCAAAATGAGCGAGTTTGAGCCACTTGTACATCCAGGAAGTGTTCAGGAAAGCAAAACAGAGGCGAAGAAACTCGACACAGAGGAACAATTACACCTCACTGCCCACTAGCGTTTCGGAAGTGTTAATGCAGACCAACAGAGACAGCACGCAGAAGCATAAATGCGCCGTGAGTTACGCCGGTCACTTGACGCAGAAGTATAAACCAGGCTTAAGACCACTTCCACTTCCACGCTTAGCTTCAGTGAGTAACCGGTCAGGGGCTGCAGGGTGATATGGCTGTAATGTATTTGGTAATGTTATGTTGTCATAACAAAGACATCTCCAACAATGTCACCTTTGCATTTAGAATGACATGACTGAACTAAAACACTTAGAGACAGTTGTCTTATGCATGCAAAAACATGTTTACAAAGGTGTCATGACAGTCTTATAAACACACCTTTCAAGTAAAGAAGTTCATGCAGATTGGAACAAGTGCAGTGTAAGTCAATTATCATTTGAGTGAACTATCCCTTTAAACCAACAAATTATTGGAAATATTACCCATAGATTGCTTTGATCAGCAGCCTTTTATCATACTTCAAACCAATATAAAACATTTTAAATTGACAATTTTCAGTATATTGTGATTCATGTTTTTTTCTTTGCTTATTATTTATGCTTTTGAATTGCATTATGGGATCTTAATCTATCCTCCAAAAGCTTTTGATTTTGAAACGTTTGAAAAAGTATATGTATTGACATTTTAAATAGTTTAAACTGATATATTGTCTGGGATTGTGTCGTAAATTATGGTACAAAACCTGGTAATAAGCTGTCAGTACATTTTCATTTTTTACAGACTTGGTTGTCTATGAAATGTAACTTAAAAAAACTCTAAAATGTCAATAAAAGTAGTTTTGTTAAACTGTAGTGTTGGATTTTTAACATGAAAAGTGGACAGAGCAGAGATAAAACTCCCATAATGCAATTCACAACCGTTAATAAAAAGAAAACACTTGTGAATCACAAAATACAGAACCTGTTAATATTTATACAGTGCAAAAGTAACCTTGGGGCATTATTATATGCTCTGTCTATGACACTAAAAAGAGATACTTTTTTCTAAATATTTAGCAAAGTATCTTTCTCCAGAGGACACAAATCGATAAACCTCTGTAGTTTGAAAAGGTCTACGCAAAGCTGTTGCAAGTCAATGGAAACTTTGTAATGAATACCAACAGCTCATTTATTCCAGGCTGTAGTCTTTGGACACTCCTTACAGAGTCTTGGTGTGAGAGAGAGCAAACCTACACTCACCAGTTTTACAATCCAGGATTTGCATAGTCTAATCAAATCGCCCCTTCGAAAACGACATTCTCGCTAAACATGATGCGTGAAGATTTGAAATAAAATGTTTAGCCTTGTGACATTAACAAAAACAAAAATAAGCATGTAAATATTGACTAAAAAGACTAAATACTGTATTATCACTATGAAAAGTCTCACTATAAGGTGAATTGCGTGTAAGGGATTGAATGTGTTTTTTCATACATGGTTGAGGTGCTGATGGCAGTTGGCAATACATCAGGGAAAAATGATGGTCTTGCACTTAGTATTTGTCACTTGAGGGGATGCGTGGATGTACAATGTTTCCTTTGAGGAATGCGTTCTTGCACAATGCTAGGAGATAATCTTATTTTGTGCTGCAGCCAAATTGTAAATAGTCGAACTGTGCATCTGGTGTCATATTTGTGCATTTTGTCTCGCATTATCTGTCTGAGTTGTCGTTAGAAAATGTATTGTTTCCCGTATTCCCAAAGTTTGTCTTTTATTTGTTTATTATTGTGTGTCTCTTTGCTTTGTAATGCAACACGTTGACGAGAATATCATCAGTTCTAGAGTGAGAAATGTAAATATGGGAGACTATTGTAATTAAAGAAAGCTTTTTAATTAGATGGATTACATTTATGGAGATATGAACTGAATACTTTCCACTTTAATGTGACACTCATGTAAGATATTAACTCTAAACCAACAGCTATAACTATCTCTATATATGGACACACAAATGATATATTAATGATTTGCTTATTTTCTGAAGCATTTGGTGTTGAATTATTTTATTTTTGTGCCCCATTTCTATATTTACATTTATTGTTTCAGATGTTTTGCTTGAAATAGTTTGTGTTTGACAATGAATTTGCAGAAGTTTCCAGAATCATCTGGTCTCTTACAGTTATAATTGCATCACATGTAAGGATGGGGAATCGAGAAGCAAAGATTGATGTTTGAAATGAATATTGAAGCTATGTCTGAACTTCAAATAAAATTTTACATTAATAGCAAAAAATAAATCAATTGTGTTGTGCTTTTTATTTTTGCTGATTAGATAACGTCACTTGTTTATGTAAGCTTTGTGTGTTTGTCTATTAACGCAAGTAAATGAGCTGAATAATCACATCTTTAAGGACACACATGGACATCTTTTAGTTGTTGTGTGTGATGGCATCATCAAAAAGTAAATATTAAATGTTTTGTTGCACCAAGAAGAAAGGAAATTGAAACTGATTTAACTTCTACATTTAGTCAGTACAATCATAAGCACTCATATTGAAACATGTTTAAAGATTTTCATAGAAACGTTATTAATATTAAAGTTTTGTTAAATGTTTGTTTTGTTTATCTAGCAGACAACTAACTGTTTTCCATTTGAATGTTTCTTTTAAAATGTAATTCATGCCTGTGATTCAGAGCTGGATTTTCAGCATTATAACTTGTTGCATTGCATGATCTGTCATTATGATTATAATGAAACAAATAAGAAATAACATATTTTGTAACATCTTGACGTATTCGAGTTCTTAATCAGTCAAGGTATTATTTAAATATTTTAATGGCATGTTTGAATATTAATAAATAATGGTTTTCACTAAATATTAAGCAGAAGAAATGTTTTTTGAGCAGCAAACTGGAGTAACAATGCTGAAAACTCAGTTTTGAATCACATGATTAAATGCACTTACAATGTTCTTACTGGTGCTGGAAATCTTTATAAATTGACATTAAATTCAGTGTTTTCAAGGTTTGAAAAGTGCTTTGTTTTCAACTATAGTGCTTAAAACTGCTTGAAAATGTAAGTGTGATTCTTTCTAAATATCATGTTGCTACAGTACATTGGTAATGATGTTTAAATATTTAAATACATTAAATAAGCATTTTGCATAAATTGTAAACTCTGGCATCTGCCAGTTATTTAATTATATGTGCATGGAGAGTAGTGCTTCATGAGTGAATAATGCATGAAATAAATTTAAATTTAAGATAAAAGATGATGTTTGAATGAATGAATAAAAGCATTTCAATATTGGGGTTAGGGTAAGACTTCCATGAAAATCTTTTCCTTCAAAAATTATACTGTAATATTGAGTAAATATCATTTAGATGTGATTAATATAGATGTATGTAAATACTGCAATATTGAATACTATAACAAATAGCATCTGATATGTGATGAATATGTGGATGTAAATGTCATTTGCCACAATTGTAAAGTGCTGAAAAATGAGAAAAATGCACCTGGAAAGTGCATGGAAATTGCTTATATTTGACTTTAGAAAAGAACGCTGATTGTGCTAACAAAGAAGAAAATTTTAAATACTATTTAACAATATTACTGTTTTACATGTATTTCAAATAACAATTGCCTTGATAAGCATTGGCACAACATTAAAACATTTAAATGTTTACAAAATCTCTTGTACAACAGTGTTAAGTGTTCACATTGACAGTTTGTCTTGTGTGTAAAACTGAAGATTAGATTCTGAAAATTTATTATTCCTCACTATTTGCTTTTATTTATTTATTTGTTTGTTTGTTTATTTAATGTTCGATTAGTTCTGCTTTAAATGAATAGTTCACCTAAAACTAAAATTCTGTCATCATTTACTGACCCTTCTTTTGTTCCCAACCTGAAAAACACAAAGAAGATATTTTGAAGAAAACTGAAAACCTTTATTAAATGAGGTTTTCCGTCTATGGAAGTCAACAGTTACAGGTTTCCAGCTTTATTAAAATGTGTTTTAGTGTTCAACAGAAGAATGAAACCCAAAAAGGTGTAGAAATTTGGGGAGATATAGTTTCTGTCAATATAGGGGGCTCCGCTTTTAAACCCAAACACATGACATAGATCTTGTAAACATCTCTGAGCGTTCATAAACAGAATATTGAAGCTAGCCTATGTCTGAACTTCAAATAAAAAATTACATTAATAGAAATAAATTGTGTTGGACCTTTTTATTTGTATAATTAAATAATGTCACTTGTTTATCTAAGGTTGTATGTGTCTGTTAATGCAGGTAAATGACTTGAATAATCACATGCGAACATCTTTTTGTTTGTACATTATGCCATCATCAAAAAGTCAATATAAAATGTTTTGCTGCACCAAAAAGAAAGGAAATTGAAACTGGTGTAACTTATGAATCCAGTCAATACAATCTTAAACACTCAGATTTAAATAAACATATTTATTATAAAAATTGTTTCCATATGTTTTTTAGCAGACAACTATTTGTCAGAAATTATTATAATGAAATAAATAAAATATTTTGTAACTTTATAAATCCTCACATTTCTTGCAGATTAGATTCTAACTGTTTGCTTTTATTTATTTCAAAACTGAAAGTTCTGTCATTATTTACTTGGCCTTCACTTATTCCTAACAACAAAAGTAGATATTTTAAAGAGAGCTGAGAACATGTAACCACCGACTTTTATTGCATTAGTTTTCTTACTATGGAAGTCAACATGTTTCCAGCTTTATTTAAATGTGTTTTAGTGTTTAACAGAAAAAGAAATCCCACAAAGGGTCAGAACTAGTTGGTGGGAGACCTTAATATTTTCATTTGTGGATGAATCACTTTAAGTGGTTTAACATGTTCTGTTCTTTGTCACTAGAGAGAGCTCTCTCTACAATAAACGAAAATTCAAACCAAAACAAACGACACGGAACTTGTAAATATCCATGAGCGTTCAGAAACAGAATAATCCTTAATCCCTGCAGAACTCCTAGAAATGATATTATTTTAAATATTATTGCTCCTGCAGATGTAAATCCAATGCCCCTCGACCAAGAGAATGTAAACATTTCCAGTGTCACTGGTTTGAGCCGCTTGAGCTCGCTCGCTGTATGAGAGAGACGCTTTTTACGTGCAAGAACACTGATAGGTCAGCCTCCAAGCCACGCCTTCTCAAAGAACATTAAAAGTAAGACGCCCAACGGATAGAATCTTTCGAGAAGAAGAAAAAATGTAGAGTTGTTTGGATATTTATATTTACTTTAAAAGGAAGCGGTTTCACCCCAAATTCATCTTCGATTGATTTGATTAAAGGCGTTTATGTGGAATTGAAAACAGAAAATGTTCGCTGGAAGAAACAACGACAACGGCTTTTGGCCATGCACTGGATTACAAAGCAAACCACTGGTTATTCCAGAACTGAAAGCGCATAACCAGTTTGCGGTGGACTCTCTCCAGGGCTCGGTACCGTCCTCGCCTTCGGACGAAACGGGGGATTATCCCCCCACCGCCCTTGACATGGACACGCGGGAGATTATTGACACTTTCTTAAAAATCTTTACAGGACTCCCTCATTCTAAAAGTGGACGAAAACAAGTACTGTCAACAATGAGGCGGGTTGTGGACAATCTCGCGGTGAAGCACGAGCTCGCTTACAAAGGTATTTTCTTTTGCTTTTCTGCAAGTAACGCTCTGTTTCCCTTTCACTCTTTCATAATGTTTAGTGGTTGATAAGTCCAGTTAAACATTATTTAAATGACCTGCCTCACCCTCTATACACGCACCTGGCCTGGCAGGTTGCTCCACTTTATGCCACGTATAGTCGTTTATGATTCTCTGGACTCTTTCAGGTATGATTGCACGGCTGAATCTGGAGCAGAAAGGAGAAGATGTAAGTTTCATCAAGCAAGTGGCAACAGAGCTCTTTAGCGATGGCACCACAAACTGGGGTCGTATTGCCAGCCTGCTGACATTTGGGGCAATGCTGTGCAAATACCAGAATGACAGAGGACATAGCAAGTATGTGAGGTTGGTAGGGGAGGAGATCTCGTCTTATCTACTTACAGAGCAGCGGGACTGGATACTCAGAAACAAAGCATGGGTGAGTTTATTTATTCCCTTTTACAGGTCTTTTATTTTTAGTTAGTGTATTTATTTTCATTGTTTGTATCCTAAAGTTGACTAATGTATTCATGTTCTTCCCTTTAGGATGGCTTTGTGGAGTTTTTTCATGTCCCGGATACAGAGGCAGCTGTGAGAAACACACTTCTAACAATTGGTGGTGTGGCTACATTAAGTGCAGCACTTGCCTATTGGATACGGTGAATCCATATGGACTTTCTAAAAACTAACAAAACAAAGAATGGATTCAGAACTTTCAAACTATTTTTGTATTGTTTTTTTTTTTTTTTTTTGAGATCATTTTCACCATTTTTCCTTTTCGAAGTGCTCACTGTATTTAAAAACTGGTTTAAACCTTTATTTGAGAAGTTAAATGCTATTTTTGTATTAAAAAGTAAAATTTTTAAATCATTTCCAGCCGTTCACATCTGAATTGTTCACCTACCAGGGATTAACACTTGCAACGCCAGTTTTTTTTTTTTTTTTTTTTTTTTTTTTTTTTTTTGTGTGTGTGTGTGTGTGTGTGTGTGTGTGTGTGTGTGTGTGTGTGTGTGTGTGTGTGTGTGTGTGTGTGTGTGTGTGTGTGTGTGTGTGTGTGTGTGTGTGTGTGTGTGTGTGTGTGTGTGTGTGTGTGTGTGTGCAGTTTACATATCACAATCACATTTGAAATTGTACATACATATCCACCAGTGTTCTTTAAAAATAATGCAAAATTTGATTAAAACTAAAAATGTCTGTTGCACCCACACTATAACTGCATTTACGTTGACCCCTTTTCATATAAATATTAGAATTATTTTATGCAATGTATTGCACAGATAACTTCAGGTGCTGGCTTTATCTGATGAATGAGCTTTAAAGCTTTTATCTAAAAGCTAATGGTGGTTCTGTTTTGAGTGCTACTTGATAGCACTGTGATAGTAATTAACCACACAAGGCTGCTTAAACTTTTGTCTGACTGATTGAAATATTTAGGGAAGTTTGAGAGCATGTTCTCCTCTCTGAGCTTTCTCTGTGAATTTACTGTTCTCTAAACTGCCAATTAAACTGATAAGCTAATAACTGTATTTTTTTCTCTCTCATAAATTAAAATATCCTTCATGTTTCGTCACAAAGATTATAGTAAACTGTTAGCCCAAATGTGCTTCATTCAGCTCATTATGTATAACATCAACAAAGTCTTGCTTCAATAGATTTAATAGTCTCTTAGTTCTGTTAAAGGCCAAAGATTTAACATTTCCTTTTTTATACACTCATTTCAGTCTCTGGATAGTAATACTGTGCTGCAGAACAAATTCAGACAGCTGTCAGAGTGAAACTCGCTGGCACAATGAAACTCTGTGAATACATGTGAATACTTTTCAAGGAGAGGAAAATACATGTATCTGATTTCAAAGAGTTCATTGTGTTGCTGGGTCACATTGCTAAATCACTTGCTACTCAGGGGATGTTGAGAATAATAAAGGGATAGTTCACCCAAAACTGAACATTCTGTCATCATTTACTCACCCTTGTTCCAATCCTGTTTAAGTTTCTTCTTGAACACAAGAGGATATTTTGAAGAAAGCTGAAACCATTGACATCCATATCCAGGTTTTCAGCTTTATCTTGTTTTGTGTGTTCAAAAGAAATTTAAAGAACTTTTGGAACCACTTGAATGTGAGTAAATGTTCATTTTTGGGTGAACTATCCTTTAAATATTACATAAATATACAAGCCCCCATAATAAAGTATTTTATAAGGCACTTCTGTAATCAATAACCTCAGGCCCTGCTATTATAATCTAGTTTGTCTCAAATAGAGATTTCTTTAGTGACTAAAATGACTGATTCTGGGTAATAATCATACCTCATTTTTTTAGAATTTGAAGTAGACTGTTCTGTAGCAGGAAGCATGACGTTGAGAAAATGACCTCAGTGTTCGTCACTGCGTTCAGGTCCTTCCTTTAAAACATAGGAAGTTTCTGAATCAATTGCTCAATCTCTTTGTTTGCTGTACTTTTTGCCTCAGGGCTCAGGATGTAGCCTGTTTGGTTTGTTTTCTAATGTGGAAGTAATGGCTATAACGTAATGTTTGTTAACATTATGAGTATGACTGTCACACAGTGGAGTCGTGTGATAATGGAGCTCACACTTCTGCACTTTTTAGTGCTGAATGGTCGTGGTTTTAAAATCACGAGGCTACTTTTTTTTTCTCTCAATTCAGTGAATGAAAACAGACATTTGTGGTCTGCTTTTGGAAAGACTCACTTCCTAAGTGAAAATAATTACAGCATATAACATCATTAAAGTTTCCAACATGGCAGCTCATAATAAACTGACATATAGCGTTAATGTTTTACTATATTCATCCTTGTCAGTAGAAAATACCAGGGTAGCGGATAACAGTCATCTTTATCAAATTAAGTATGTGTAGATAACTCAACGTACTGAAAGTAATTCTACTTATTAAAAAAAAAAAAATGAGTTTTGAACTCAGTGTTGAAGATGATGAGTTAATTAAATACCTCATTACTTCAACTTAAATGGATAAAATTCACAGTACTTCTGTAGTTTAGTTCTTTAACTCAAATGGTTTGTAGCAGTCAGTTTCCTCAAATGGTTTGAGTTGCATTAACTTATAGTGCTTAAATTGCTTTGTTTACTCAAATGGATTAGTTCACAGTACTCATTAGGATTAGTTTTTTAACTTAAATGGTTGGTTGCAATTGGTTTCCTCAAATGGTTTGAGTTAACTTAACTTTTTGGTGGGTTTTACAGTGCAGTGAAGGTCTAGTGACCCTCAGATGCCTATAAACATCTCCCAGAGAAATTCTTGCTTTGTTTGTATTCTTGCACAGCAACATCCTGCAAACTTTAGTTCTTGAGATGCTTGTTTCTGCTGATCCTGAGGCCTTGACTGGCTGGTTGAATTAAATGATTATTTCACCCAAAAAAAAAAAAATTATCTCCATTTACCTATCAAGTGGTTCCAAACCTTTATGAGTTAAGTTTTTCTACAAAACCTAAGATATTTTGAAACTGAAAATGTAACTATTGATTTCCATAGTAAGAAAAACAATTACTCTGGAAGTCAGTGTTTACAGGTTTGCTGCTTTCTTAAAAAAAAAAAAAAAAAAAATCTCAAACAGGTTTGTAAAAAGTGAAGGGTGAGTAAATAATAACGGAATTTTCAGTTTTGGGTGAACAATCCCTTTAAGGATTTAATGAAACCGTTCAGAAGAGGATTTGATGCACATGATCCAACGATTCTGTAAAATCCTTTCAACAAAAAAGATTTCAACTAAAAACTGAAGACTTTTAAGTCATTGGGCAGCTGATGTATATGACAACAGCATGCTGTTAGCCTGTAAACAGACCTTTTGAAAACCGGTTTCTAAGTGCAAGTTTTTTAAACCTACGATTATTGTCGCAAAAATGCATTGTGACATCATCACATGTGTTTATTACTTCTTCAGTCCATAATCACAAAAAAATATGGTTTATAATAGTAAAGTGTAATCACAGTTTAACCTGAAAACATGGCTAAACTAAAGTTATTACAGAAAAACCATGGTGCCACTACAATAACAGTTTATGCTTTTTTATTTGTATTAATTTCAAAAGGGGAAGTAATTGATGGCGTTTTAATTGTTTGTGTATGAATTTGGAAGATGAAAGGGTCCACAGCGCCACCAAATGCAAAACATACAGATTCAATCCAGACAAAGTCATGCCAGGCACTGCCCATGGTCTCTGGCTAAACGAGACAGAAAGGCAAGTCAGCTGAGTATGGTTTCAGCCCATATATGAATCATGCAGTATCAGACTAGATGCAGATGTTTTCAATGCTTAGCTGAAGGGTAGAAATAGTTTCCAGTGGAAAGTTTGCTTCATTAGCATCTGACAGTAGTTCATCATGACGTTCTTCACTTGTTCAAAAATCAACATGAACTCAATAAAACATTTTTCGTTTTCAATATCCTCATCTTTCACTTAACAAAAATGTTGAAAATTAATTTTCGATGTTCTAGCCTGTCATTATAACATCTGTAAACAGGAATTTCCTTATCAACATTTTTTTCTTCTCAGGAATTTTTTTCTTTTTTTAAACATCCATGGCATCCTGATGCAGAAAAAAAAATACCAAAACAGACCATTTAAACTATTTTGAACTGCTTTAAAAAGGAAATGCTGACAAAAACATCTGCTTTAAAATGTTTTGTTCCTTCATTAGCCGTTGGTTTTGTAGTTCAGGCTAAGCTAGATAATATTTGTGTGTGTGCTTATTTGCTCAGATTGGTTTCGTGTCTGGTTACAGGCCATCCGTGGGGTCTAAAAGGACTATGGTAATGACACACACAGGGCCTCACCTGATCCTTCAGCTCACTGCGGCAGCACCTGCTGTGGTTACCTGAGCCAGCGGCACATGGCTGTGAAACTCCATGGAATACAGGTAAAACCATGTGACAAAACATGTACTAATCAACTCTTGTGCTTTGGTAGTCCTGAGTTGTTGTTTTTAAAGGTTGCAAAGCAGGCATCTCAAGACAATCTCGTATGCTTGTTTGTTTGTGGTTTTGCTGTGTAGGCTTTTAAAGTCTGTGTGAAGTCAAAATTTACCACAATGGTTATTTTGCTAGTACACATTGTTACTATTTAGGTTAACAATTAATCCATGGAAGTTAATCCACAGAAAAAAAAGTTTGTTTTGGTAATCTTTAATCAAAGTCTGACCATTCACTTTTGCGTTTGGGGTGGCGGTCATATCAGTTTGATGGCTTCAGCCACAATATTCCTAACCACACCCCTTTAACCGATAGTTTGCTTGGAACAATGCACAAAGAAAGCCCCGTCCCCTACTGAATATTCTGTTTCAGTTGGAAGTACATCAACACAATGAAATAAAAGTCTCAGCAACTTCCATTTCACAAAAACTCTAAAGAGGAAGTTTAACCGAAAATGTACTAATCGTCAAGTTGGAACAAACCTGTATGAGTTTTTTTTTCCTCTTAGAAAAAAGCCATTTTCTGGCAACTAAACATTCATTCATTTTCCTTCAGCTGAGTCCCTTTATTCATCATGGGTCACCCCAGCGGAATGAACCGAATAATTATCCAGCACATGTTTTACACAGCAGATTCCTTTCAAGCCCCAACCCACAATTCAACAATTTTTTAAAATTGTAATGTTGGATAAATGGTGTAATTTTGTTGTAAACTTAACTATTTATCCTAATTAATTTATTAGGCAGGGCACACACACAAAATAATTACAATCAGGTCCTTATGGAAAAAAAAACTGCCCCTTTTATTGTCAATAGTAGCATTTAAGCAAAAATCACAAAATCTGTATTTTCAGTGTCATCAGTTGGCCAAATTGGAGGCACATAAAGTAAACAATGTCACAAAAACTAACACTACTTGCATT